TGCGGTGAAGATACGCACGTTCACGGTGTGCTACTGGGTCTTGGTTGTCCTCCTGCAGGTGGTGCTGCAGGGACTGCATTTGTACTGGTTTGCACTGATTGTGAAGCTGGCGATTCGGGCGCTTTTTGGTGGTCCCCTTGATGACATCCGCTCCGAGGACGATGAGGAAAACGACGGTCATTGAACGGCGGCTTCTGACAATAGAAAGAAGAGTAAGATGCTGTAAAGCGTAAATTAGTGTTTTCCTTTACACACACACACGTATCTCTGCTCATGCGACATCCACTGTGGTGCGTTTTTTGAATGGGCTCGCAGTATTTTTGCGTCGTCTCGTTTTTTTCTGCGCCACACGTTTTAGGATTTATGTTGATGTGGAGGTCTGGTGCCTTCCGCATGCCTTCTTGGATATGACATTTATAATTTCCGGAGGCCGAGAGCCAATGTTTATTTTTCAACACATATGTGTTTTTGAAACGTTAGTGTTTGCTGCAAGCGACCGTCCTCACGAGACCACGTGACCGTTTTTCTTGTTTGCCCGCAGGGCGTGTTGCTGCTGCCCGTCCCTTTTTTGTCCTCACACCCACATCCGCTCCTGCACTTCACCCTCTTTTTCTCACTTAGATGGTTTATGTGTTCTCGTCTTCTTTATTTGCAAGCGTCGTCGTCATGTTGATCGGCAGGACATGAGTCCTCCGCACGTCGGTGCTTGATGCTTGACACTGCGCCCGCGAGCCGCCGCTGTGGACGACGCAGCGCTTGCTTACATTCCACGCCGTGTTGTGGACACGTGGAGCCGGCAGGAGTACCTGATTGTGCTGGGCATCCTCTCTGTGGACGACGAGACGAGGCGAACACGACGCAACCTGCAGCGGACGACGTGCTGGCGGCCCCCCGGAGTGGCGACGAGGGCGAACGACTTCACCGGCGCGATGCTCGTGCTGTGCGTCCTTGGGCGACACTCGTCGCACGGCTATGGATATTCCGCCGCGCTGCTGGAGGAGGCGGCGGCGTTTTTTTCTCCGAGGGTGCGAGCGAAGGGGAGACGGCTGGAGGAGTTGGGTGTCGATCGCAACGCCTCCTGCATGCCACGCGTGTGCCCTGCCATCTGAATCACATCCCGCAACGCCGGGCGGGGCTGGGGCGCGCCAAAGTGTCGTGAGGCCCGCGAGTGACTGAAGGGAGGCGCTTGCGTGCTGTGAAGAGGCCCGGGTGGATGTGTATGTACATGGGTGTGGGTGTGGACAACCTTTTTGTGTGCGTTTTCCCTTGTTGTCTTTTTACATCCTTCTCCCTCGAGTTGTTTTGTGTTACTTTTGTTGTTTCTGCGCTTGGCGGTGATGGGGAGTAACTCAGCAAACCGGAGAGCACAGTGCATTCAGCACTGGATGCGCGTATGACTCTACACCCGTTGTCTGTTTCTTTTTTTGGTATTTTTCCCACGGTGTGTGCGTGTGTGTATGTGCGCCTCCTCCTCGTCGTTGTCTCCGTGTGCGGTTTGGCAACCTAAGGAACGAGTGCAATTCCCTAAGCTGTTTTTCCACAATGACACAAGCACCGGATGCAAATGAGCCAACAGAGCAGCCGACCCCCATGCAGACTGCGGGCTTAATGCTGCCAGCTGCTGCCTCCGCCCCAGCACTTTTCACCGGGGAGGAGGTGAGGGTGCCGATGTCTGGGGAAGTGGTCCCCACAGAAATGGAAAGCGGCCAAAAGAACGGCCGTGAGCAACCAGCAAAAAATTGCTTGATGCGACTCTTCAACCTCATTGTGCCTCGTGGGGGCGCACTCTCCGGCATCCTGAATCTTGCGAGCGTCACGCTAGGGGCCGGCATCATCTCCATTCCATCCGCCTTCAACACCTCCGGAATAGTCATGGCAGTGGTGTATTTGGTGGGGGTGACGGCGCTGACGGTGTTCTCCATCAAACTGCTTGTTTCGGCGTCGGAGCGGTCGGGGTACCGAAGCTTTGAAGGCCTGGCACGCGGCCTCCTTGGGCGTGGTGCGGACATTGTGGTGGCCGTTCTGATGTGGCTTCTGTGCTTTGGTGGCGCTGTCGGCTACGTGGTGGCTGTGGGTGATGTGCTCCGGCCCCATCCTGGAGCACGACGGTGTGCCCGCATACTTGCAGAGGGACAGC